TTCTTCCCCAAAATGATAGTGGCATCTCTCATCAACTTTAGGATATAAAAAGTAAGTGTTCTTTTCTTTCTTTATAGCTAATCAACAGTAGTGTCAATAATAACGAAAGGAAAACCAATAATACAAGACTATTTTGCACGGTCCAAATTCGAAGAAGATAGATACCGATAGTTGAAAATTATAATTGTACGATATCACAAAATTGATAAAATCCATTTATATATTATAAATTTAATCCAAATCTTGAAACCACAGCAAACTTATCCCTCAATGAATTGATCTGTCTTGTTATTGATACTAGTGCTTGTTTGGCCACATTCACTTGCATTCTTGCCCATTTTTTGCCATCATTGTTTCAACTTTATGTACAAATGGTGTCAGACAATTTATGGCTTTCCTGACAATGCATGTGAAGACATGCAGTAGAATTTTTTATTCAAATCTTTGAATGATTTATTTTTCATTTTTGCCCTTCCACTTCTTAAGTCTACTTCCACGTGCATTAAATATTACCAAGGGCAGTTTTGCCCAACAATCTCTACGGCTGTATAAATACTTTTTACGTGTCTGACAAGGTTTTAATTGATTGGAATGAAATTCAAACATGTGCTAAGTATAAGCTAAACACAATGTTTTTTTTTTATATCCACTTATCCCAACTTATACTAGATTAAATCTTGAATCTCCAAGATCCTTGCTCCTAGAACCTTGGAGGGGGTAAATCGCTGGTTATGCCTCAACTGGATCACAGGTTCCCTCCACTGCCTGTACACTTCTGCGCACAAGAGATCCTCCTCCAAAATGATTGCTCCATACCAAATAAATCTGGTCGCAGGTTCCCACCAAGATTCAAACCTCCACCCTGCCGCTGGAAGTAAGACAAATGTTGATTGATACACCAGTTGAGCTGCGTCCCGGGTCGCTCCCTATCATCATATCACCAACTTCATTGCCCTTCCACTAAAGGAGAAGAAGCTTTGCTTCGTAGACAGCTACACTTCCTCGTCACTTCTTTTTGGCGACTGCCTTCTCAATTGGGTGACTTGATAAATAAACTATATCCTGTCCAATTCCCTTTTTTTCATTATTAGTTGTAAAATACGTGCTTAAGCTCTTGGTCTTGTCACGTTTCACGAATCAATCGTTTATTGGCCAAATGAGAAAAAGCATGAAAACGGTAGTGAAAACAAATCATGAAATCAATACTTGAAACCAAAGCTTGACAATTAAAACTGAACCATAAAAAATCAGGGTACACTGTTTTTCCTAACTAAAATTTTAGTTCTTCATTGTTAGGTTTTAATTGTATTTGCTATTCTTTAGACAAAATAATTATTATAAAAGAGTTGTAAAAGTCAAGGAGTCTGTTGAAATATTTTATAGATGAACTATGAGTCTTTGGGTTCGAGTATGGAACATGGAAAAAGAGTCATTGAAATTATACTAGCTTGTCACCAAGTGGATGCTTGGGCATCCAAAATAGAATCATTGTCACCGGACTGTTGCTCACCTAGATCTCGAGCAACAGTGTTTTTCGAGAAACCCTGGTTCATGATTTTCAGTAGTTCTATCCATTCTGTACTTCCCTAATACCTCTCTACTACGAATACGCAAACCCCACTTTATGAAAATTATGTTTGATCATTATATTCTACCTTCATAACATCCTCTAGAGAGAAAACAACTATTCTATATCATGAAATCAATCAACCACACGTTGAAAAAAATAACAAAAACACATAATTCAAAATACCCACTTCCTAAATATAATCAGGAAGGTACTTTCTCAATAGTTTTCGAAGGTTGTTGAAAATTGATGAAGGTTGGAACAGAAGTATAGGATGAGTACAAGACCAAAAAGTGTTCTTGAAAATCCACAGAAGATAGATAATTCCAGAAGATCGGGACCAGATGTGAGTGAAGCACGTTCCAAATGGTTTTGGAGATTACAAAAATTAGATATGCGAGTCTAGTGAATTTTATAGGTTGGATCATACTGTAAGTTCTTATTATTTATAGTGGAAGTCACTGACTTTGTTTCAGAGTTTTTAATGGCCCTCTTTCTTTGTTTTGTTAGCCAAATTGAAGTGGTACCCCGGATTCCCACAAAAGAAAATCATTTTTCATAAAATTTGTACAAAAATCATTTGGATTCGCTCAGAAAATGGATTTTTGTTCAAGAATGAAATCTTTTTCGTTGAAATTACTTGTTTGGAAATTTCTCGAAGTTTGTGAATAAGTGATTGTTTGATAATGAGCAAAACCAATATTATAAAGACAATAAAATAATGTTGTTACCATTATGTGGCATAGGGGTTCACTTGAAATGGATGTCCGGCTCAAGCGGAGCGAAAAGGATTTTCCATGAAAGAAAAAAGAAGGGATTTTTTTTTTGTCCAAAAAAAGAGGGGAATGCAATTGGCTGACCAATATAAAGCGAATATTCGTTGAGGGAGTGAATTCTTCCTTTCGTAAAATTAGGCAAATAAAATGTGGGTTGGTTCATCGAAATCGAAATTATTCCTCAATGATTCCTTTATCAATCGCCATCTACTTCAAAGATCCGGGGGCCCTGAGAGGTAGTGGTTTACTTCCTATCTCTCTATCTATCTCTAAAATGTTTGGATTTTTTAAAACTCCATGGACAGGCCCTATCACAAGAATATTTTTTTTTATTGGGAGCCAAACCATTTGACCCTTCACCCATTCCGGGGAAAGAAAGGACAAAAAGATAAAAGAAAAACGAATCGACCGTTCAATTTTAAATTCTAGGGGTCTTTTTGTCCCACGAAGGATTTTTTTTGTCAACAAATCCCGTGTTATTTACTGCTTTATTAACTACTATGACAATTCATAGGCTGTTTGGTAGCCATTATATTTTCCCCATTAATTCATTTTTGGACCGTTTGGAGTCCATCTCCGAGAAAGCATTAAATGGTGTGCAGGGGCCTACCATTATCATTTCATCCAATTGCCTCGGATCTGTGCATGGATGGAAATTGTGGAATAAAAAACCAAGTAAGGACAAAGAGGGCAAGGATGGGAATTTGCACATTTTGAATTTGATTTGGAGAATAAATTATGACATGGACCCCATATTGATTTGATAGGAAAAATGTATTTTGCCAATTAATGGCTACCAAACGGGTACTCAATATAGGATAAAATTGACTTGATTGACTAAACATTTAGAACAATTAATAAGTGGCTTATTGCTTTTAATTGGTGATTTTTATTCCTTGTTATTCACCTATTTACCCCTTCTAGGCGATTTTAGGATCGTACTACTAATGAAAGCAACAAGAGAATTAGTATAAAATAATACTCCCTCCATCTCATAAAGATTAGTCCTATTTTTTTTCACACAAATTAATAAAATTTAGTTAATATAATTGAAATAATAAATTTTAATGTACAATACTAGATGCACATAATTTTTCACATATGACATTGGGCGATATTTCATTGACAGTTGGGAAAAAAATAATTAAAAAAAGGCCCAATAAGACGCATCACTTTTAGAAGTTTTGTAAGGAAAAAACTTGTACATAAGGGACGACAACGTTCAGAATCTGGCGATGCATTTGTAGAACGATTGTATAATAATTACTAATCGCAGTTTGTTGAACTTCTATGTAAACACGATTGTATTTCAAGAGAGTAAAATGTGTAGTAGTTGTTCTTGTATTGAATCTTGCATTAGCCTTACAATGGGTGCATGGGGAAGTAATTAGGGTAATACAAGTTGAATCGCGGCCCTCGGTTGGGAGTACATGTGGCCTCATCCTGTTTGTTTACATATCCAATTCTAGGTATCACTGTTGACTAACTAGCTTGCGATATATTTATTAATTAGTAGAGCCGCCGTTATGATTTGACAAAACAAGACACTTGCACTCTATGATGGACGTCCTGTCAATCATTCAAATAGGATTCTTTGTGTAAGGCCCACTCTAGCCAAAGGTGCCTTAGAGCTTCGGCTTTGGCATAGGGTACTCGACCGATGCACTTCGGTCCTAAGCAGCTGGGGCACCTTAGAGGCTTTACTTCCAGATGTTGTGTGTTCTTCGTTGGCCTCAGAGCCTCGGCTACCTTGCCGTGGTTCGATTTTTGTATATTATTCGAGAGAAGATTGTGCATTTTAAACCAAATAGTAAAAACATTAGGTTTATGTAGGGAATATAGATATGACCCTAGCCCTAAGTGATCCATCGAGCTATTTTCACAAAGATTTAATGTGATTATTTAGTTTTAATCGACATAAAGATATAGTAGTTGAACCAATAAATTAGAGTTAATTTCGCTCAAGAGAGATAATTAACCAAAATCGAAAAATCAGGTCTAAAATGATAAACGAGTAAGAAATTAATTAGGTGACAATTAAACGAAATCATGAATCTTAATCATGTTTTCCTTCAAAATAATCAAGTATGTATGTTTTCTTATTTTCTAACGCGACCCGTGCACTTGACGAACCATGGAAGATGAAGGCCCTGCTCCTAGCGGTAGCAGCAGAACTGGTCCCAAGATTGAGGAGGTTGATTAAGCTCGTGGTGTTCCCTGATGTTGTTTTTAGTAGTATCTGAATATTTTGGTTTATTTCTGCCTCATCTCCTTTTGTTTTACTTTCGATAGCATCGGCAATTCTCTCTTATATTCAATGCCTACGATACTGCGTGAAAATATTATACTATTTTCAAGCACAGCTATTATTATTTTTACATTCTATGAAGTAAGCTTGACATTTGAATTGATTTTCTAGTTTGTTTCTATACAAAAACTTCCATGTCGCGAGATTTCAGTTGATTGAAGATTATATGAATTTCAATTACTAGCTAATATTAAATCAATTATATCAAAATGTCTTGAAACATTCAATTAAAAGATAATAATTTCGTTATGAGAAGGCATAGCTTATAAATCTCAATTATTGGCTAATATTATATCAATTATATGAAAATGATTAGAAATATTTAATTAAAAGATAATATTTTAAAAAATAAGAACGCACAACTTATGTCAAGCATGACATCATTTTATTAATAATTAAAATTGAAGAAGGCTCTGCGTATATTCCAATACTTAGTGGGACGGTACGGTACGAGAAAACTTGACATAAGAGTACACTATTAAAATCACTACTCAACCAATGTAATACATTGGATCGGGCACTTTGAAAGTTCGATCACCGGAATTATCCCCAAGTATGTCACTCCATTGGTCTCCCATATTTCCAAGAATTCTATATCCAGAATTCACTAATTCTGTTCTCCTCTTGGATTTGTACACCAATGCAGAGGTCCCCTGATCAGCTTCTCCCCTGTATCCAAACAGCATTTTGTTTCTCAAAAAAATTAATACTTAGTAAATAAGTAAATATTTCTATAGTATATTTACTTATTTTACTAGAAGTACTTAGGAAGAAGGAAAAAGATGCACTTTACTTGAGAATGAGCTTTTCCCAAATATAATAGCCAGCTTCTTTTAGATTAGAAGTCCTAATCTCTCTGAATCTTTCAGCTGTTCCACTTAAAAAGACAATCTTAATCCCGAGAGACACCAGTGTTCGATATAGACGCACGGACCCTGGAACTGGTGGCGCTCTTCCCTCCGCAACCCATTCGTCAAATTTTGTGTTGTTGTATGGTAATGCCCTGAAGACGAATTATGTGATTTCGACAAATGTGGAAAATGCAATACAAGAAATGCACATACTTGTCAATGAATGCTCCGACTAACTAGATTGCACGGAAACAACGAAATCCGGCACGACAAGTAAAAACATTATTCATAATATTACTAAAACTCATACCAATCAAGCCCTAAACCAATTATATATAAAAATGGTTTGTATGTGAAGTATTTGATGAAAAATGAAATGTACTATTTATAAAGATAGTGCTTACCCAAATAGCACATCAGATCGAGCATAATATGGCAAATTAGATAGTGTGGTTTCGTCAATATCAAAGATCCAAATATCCTTTCCATCACCGGCGAGAGTGAGGTTCTTGGCATATTCAATTGCAGTGTTTGCCACAATTTCGCAATCTTTACGATATTGCTTGCCTAGCATGTAATGACCAACATACTGTTCACAGTTCTCGGGCACTAGTTTCCAATTGCGAATGTTGTTTGTTTCCACCGCAAGACGCCAACTGAGGCAGTTAACGCCTTGAAGCAGATATCCAGCAGCACCCATTCGAGGTCGGAGGAGATGGATGTCTTGGGTCACTTGCTCTATATAGCCATCTGCTTGACAAGTTGCAAATGCAGTTGCTAAAAACAAAAGTACTGCAGCCAACCTCATCTTTGAAAAATGTGTGAAGTCTTGACATGAAATCTAATGAAATTTGGTCGTTTATATAAAGATTTGCCAAGCAAATGAACCCTTATTTTGCAGAAAATTACATATGGTATCCTTGCTGGGACACCAATATTTTTTATTTATATATTATGGGGGGCTTTCACCCTAATTAATTTATAGATATCAAAGCTATTGTTTGGTCTCTATTATTTTCAAAATGCGTTTTCTCATCTCTTATTTTCGATCACACATTCTTTAATAAATTAATATTAGACTCAAATTTAAAAAAATTCCTTATTTTTCAAACCATCTTTTCATTGTTGAGTGCGTGCGAGCTAATAAAAATGTAAAAAAACCTGGAAAGATTGCTTTTCAAACTAGATAAAAGGCTTGACCTGAAGTAGAAGTCGCATAGTGAGTTAACCCTTCTTTATAGTCGGCCTGCTGGGTTTGGCTATAGAGGTTTACGAGTTACTCTACTCATGCTGATGGTCCGAGCAAGCTATTGTGAAAAGAATTAGGTGCCTATTTGACAGAGTTTCAACGTTTTTGTAGAATAACTTTCTGAGTAAACCATTTTAATTAGTGTTGGAAGTTAATTTCTTGAGGAACTTTTTCTTTCGAAATAGTTTTTAGAGGAAGTTTTATTGGATCAGTTTCCTTTAAAAAAAATATTTTAAACTAAAATAAACATTTTTATAAAATTAACGAAACTAATTCATACTGATGGTTTCGAGCAAGCTATTATGAAAAGAATTATGTGCCCCATGTGACCGAGTTTCTACATTTTTGCAGAAGAACTTTCTGAGTAAACTATTTAAATTTTTGTTTGAAGTTAATTTCTTAAAGAACTTTTTCTTTCAAAGAGCTTTTAGAGGAAGATTTACTGGATAATTTACTTTTTTTTTAAAAATTTAAAATAAGTATTTTTATAAAATAAACTAGACGAATTCAAAATTAGCTTTTGAGTCAAAAATCTTGTTAAACGGACCTTAAATATGGAGCCTGTTTGGGCCCGATTTTTTCATCCAAAAATTGATTTTTTTGATCGTTATTTCACTATTTCAGCCGTCATATTTGACTTTTTCTTTCATAGGTGGATCCCAATTTTCTCATAACGGTCAAAAAATCAATTCTCAAAATCACTCCCAAACAGTTTCATGATTAATCTTCAAAATTGAAATGATAAGATCCAATTTACATGACCACTCATTCAGCATTCATAAAGAATCGTTAATATTCCAACCACCCACAGATCGATCACTCACAACCCGGAAGGGGTTGGATATTTTGGGGTTCATTTTTTAATGAGATGGGTCCTACAAGGAACTGTAGCCTATAAAGGCCCGTGAACCCCACCTGACAGACTAGAATTATTCAATTCGTATAAAGGAAAATAACTTAAAATATACGTCACATTTATCTTACGTAAAATGCCTCTTTATCTTTCTCAAACAGTACTATTACAACTGGTATGGTGATATACATGGCGTACCTGTCAATTCCAACCATAATGCAATTTTATAATATGAAAAGAGATAAAAGATAAACTCCTTTTACGAGCATGGAACATTTTTTTAATATGTGCATGATTCATGCAAATGTTAAATATGTATATTTTCCTAAAATATATCCACCGAACATGAATATTCATTCTTTTTCCCTAGAAATGTAAGGGAAAATAATATTAATTCTTCAACGATAACTTTTTGTTGGGTTCTCTTCATCGGGTTCATCGGACGGTCACTCGATGAAGTAGTAGCTCCCCATTCGACGATTGTACCATATAGGACGATGCGATCACCCCACCAAAATTTTTCTCCTGATATGGATACGATTCTCTCTAACAATTCAATTTTCTAGATTAAAAAGTTCTGCCAATGTATACGTAAGTGTCGTCAGACTTGGGTTGGATTATGCCATACAAAGATGTTCTACTACAACTCATATATCTAGTCAAGGTAACCTTAAGTTTCAATGTGGTTTGGTCTTATAATTGAGTCTTAAATGATTTAACATTTTTAAAACATGTTTTTGGATTTATAAACCAAAGCCATGTATGCAAATGTATTGAGTCAAACTATTTAGCCTTCAAAAAAGTTAAGCTACTGTCAAAAATTTTGCGAAAATTCAAAAAACTGAATATCTATCATTGTTTACGTTGGAAATCTACTTAACACGCGCAGCAGAAATTAAAACGATTTTCGATTCCTATCAGAATTCATCTTTGTGTTTAGATAGAAATGGTGAAAAAGATCGTACCTTTCTTCTAGATCTGTAAACTCCTTTGCTTTTCTTGTGCTCCAACGATCTTGATTTGCCAACCACATCTGTTCAATTGTCCAACCTCTAACGATGATCCACACAGAAAACAAGATTACAATATTAGGATTTTATTCTTGTACTAGCAAGAATAATAAATTCTCTACAGATTTTGAAAACTCTAATCATATTTATATAAGCTCAAACGGATTTGACCTGATCTGGTCCAATATTTAATTAACCCCTTTTACTAAATCCAATCCGTGAATTAATTAATCCAAATTAATTAATTCAGACCTATAAATATGCAATCCAATTAATTAATTTATCTAACGCTTGTTAAATTAATTAACTGATAAATTACAATATTCTAGTTCTCTTTTCTGTGTGACCCATCAGGTTCCCGATTACAATACCTAACGACGTGAAATATTATTTTGATCTAATCAAAATTGATAATTTAAAATATCATTTTAATTTATCACCAATTTACACTAGTCGTCCCAAATTAACATTTAGCAATGCGTCAGGGCAATACATGTGACGGGAAATGTCACGTGGTATGACAAAATCAAATTCGTTCGTTTACCATGAAACTATAATCCCTTCGTCAATATGAACCGATCAATTACGAGATATGGAAGTGTGTAAATCTCGATTATTGATCATATCTTTCACTCCACTATTAAGTCAATATAAGTCGAAAACTCATTTTCGACTTATGAGTACACCTTGGGCCAAGGATTTCGTTATAGACTCGATTGAATGAAATGCAGATCATAATCCCTTACTATTTAAGAGTGACGAATCCTCTATTGGTCATTCACAACCTTCATACGATTTTTGACATACTCGAACGATGCCGTATTAGCGGCCCTTGGTAGAGCAACATCCAATACCGTCAAAGTATGACTGTCCTCATATATGGTACTATGACGACCTCAAGTCAAAGGATCAATCTCACTACCGAACGTTAGAGATTAACCACTGACACTCAAATAGTTATCTATGTAGAATCTCTAGGCGGGTCTCCAATGTTTTGTTCTATAATAAAAAATTCACGTATTCATTCAAGTGTCACCACACTTTAACTTGTGAGATCAGTTACTTACTTCACAAGTAAGAGATGTCACACGTGATGGTCTATCCGTAATAACGATATCCGCATCTCATTATTACTTACGATCATGGACGATTTAAAATTTAATCATATGTAATTTGTATATCACAATCACAATTCTTTGTGATTAACAAATTACGAAAATTTGAATCTACGGACTCTATTATTTAATTTAATTGTCTATTAATTAAATAATAGATCTGCCATTAAATTGCATTAATTATTTATTAAAAGAATTTATGTTCAAGGTTGATTGGACCTAGGGCACAACACTTACAAACTCCCACTTGCACTAGATCCAATCACTTATAAATCCAATATTATAAGAGTCTACATGACCATCACATTTATGCTACGACAACTCTTTGTCAGTTGATCTGCAATATTGTCAAATGTGAGAATTCGTTCTTCTCTTTAGTCATTTCTATGTATTATCTCTATGAGGAGATTATACCGCCTTAATACATGTTTGGATCATTGATGAGACCTTAGTTTCTTCCCTTTCGCGGTGACTCTATTGTTATCACAATGCAATGACACGTGATCAACAATATCAGGAACTATTCCAAATTTATTAATGAACATCATGATCCACATTGCAACTCTTGCTACTTTTGAAGCAATCATGTATTAAGTTTCTACTATTGAATCAACGGTTGCTTTACATTTGGAACATCTCCAACATACCGCTTAAGAGTAAACCAATTTCTTCATATGAAAATTCCTCAAGATTTCATCTATGTAAATTGGGATGAGTTAAGCAATCTTCTAGATCTACTTCTATAGATCAAGTTGCTTATTCCATATCGTTCATGAATAAATCCTTTAACAACAATTATTCTAACGATTGAAACTTAAGGATATCATTTCCTATCATATCGGAATGCAACAATGCTCCCTCTATCTCCTTGCAAACATACAATTCGTCTTTATATTTGATAAAATCAAACATTTTCATTTTTCCATTAAATCAAAGATTTCAGCTCCAAGAGATTTGTTTTAACCCATAATGTCATAGTATGCAACTATTGTAACCAAAATCCGAATGGATCTCAGCATGGTTACAGACGAAAGGTTTCATCAAAGCCAACACATTGTCTTTGTTTGTTACATTTTGTTACTAGCCTTGCTTTGTATGTTTGGATATTCACATCCATGTCAACCTTTTATTGTAAACCATTTACGATCTATGGGTTTTATCCCATTAGGAGGGTCAACCAAGGTCCAAACCTTATTCACATACATCGAGTTCATTTTGAATTTCATAGCCTCTTGCTATCTCTTTTAAGTCACTTGACTTTATTTTTGTGCAATTAGTAGGTTCATCATTCTGTATCAGCAATGCCTGATTAGTGATCATGGATTCGTACCTTCTTGAAGGTCGAATGATCCTACTAGATTCACACAAAGCTGACATGTTCTCAAGAGTCTCTACTTCTTGATCAAGAGTATGCCTCACATCAGATATGTGATCAAACTCGAATTCATTTACTTGATTAACTATATCTGTGGGCTCTTAAACTCTTTCAAGTTTCATTTTGCTCCCACTGTCCTCTTCCAGAATAAACATTTTCTCTAAGAGGACGGTATGTCATGAGACGAAGACTTTCTTCTTAATGGGATAATAGAATTGATATCCAAATATTTGTTTTGGATATTCCACAAATA